TCCCACATACAGACCGGTTCCCGCTCACTGGCTGAGCGAGGCGCGGGAGCAACGCCGAGGGTTGCGATCCCGTTGCCGGTCCCGGTCTGGTACGGGGGCGACACTGAGGGTTGCGATCCGTTGCCGGACACGGAAAAAGACAAAAAGGAAAAAAAAAAAAATTCATATGTTGAAATCCCAACCCCCAGCACCTCAGAATGTGACCTTATTTGGAGACAGGGTCCTGACAGAGAAAATCGAGTTAAAATGAGGTCACTGGGGTGGGCCATAATCTAATCTGATGGATGTTCTTATAAAAAGGGGAAATTTGGACACAGAGACATGTGAACCGAGGGAAGACATGGGGAGACACAGGAAGAAAATGGCCGTCAACAAACCAAGGAGAGAGGCCTGGAACAGAGCCTTCCCTCTCAGTCGCCAGAAGGAACCACGCCTGCCAACGCCTTAATGTTGTCTCCAGAGCTGTGACACAATAGATTTCTTTTGTTTAAGCCACCCAGTTTGTGATTCTGTTATAGCAACCCTAGAAAACTGATGCACGACCTGACACCAGGCAATCGTACTTGACAGCTTGCTCTCCAACCCCGATTCCTGGGCCAAGGGGCCCGATCCTGGACCGGAGAACGACGTGGGGCTTATCAGGGCATGTGTGTGTTCTCAGGAACTGGTTCGCCTTCTCTGGTTTCAGCTTTTTCTTTGATGTGGAAGCTTCTGAGCATTATAATTAGAATCCGTCATTTGTACAGATGGATTAGATGTTGTCTCTTTGAGAAGGTAGTAATTGTTCACAGGATTTTTCAGTGTATTCCTGTATATTTCAAATGTTGCTGTATTTAGTGTGTCTTGTGAATGTCAATAAGAAATAACATTTACAAAAAAAGAGAACAGCAGATCCTTGTTTTGAATTTCAACTTGAGCAAAGCTGAAGAAAATGCCAAAATAATATGCAAATATTAATCTGCCATATGTAAGGATTCTTGGAATTTTTTATTTCAGAGCTGTCAACACAATTCAGATTCTCTGTCGTTATTTCTGGGTGTTTATGATTTTTTTTTCTGAGTCTGCATTTTATTACATACGGAATATTCCCAATGGATCCTAAGTCCTCACCATTATTTTTGTTTGTTTGCAGGAAATTTTGATTGGGTCGGGAATGATTTTACCCAGAATGCTGGCACGGGTCTTGTTATCAACCAGGCAGATGTAAAGACTAACAGGAGCATCATTAAACAACTTAAAGATGTGTTTGAGAGGGACTGGTACTCCCCCTATGCCAAAACCTTACAGCCCACCAAACAGCCGAACTGCTCAGTCCTGCTCAAATTCAAACCCCCCTCAGACAAATCCGCCACCCACAACACTAGTGCCAAGGAGCCCTGGAGCACATAACGTGGATGAGCTGGGACAGCCGCATATTTCCTATTTATATACAAAGGATTTGAGGAGAGAATAACAATTTAATATGTCTTTTTTTTTTTTTAGGACAAAAAGCACACTTATTAAAAATGTTCTCTAAACGACATGTAATATCTTATCTAACAATATCTTAGCGCTGTGTCCACTAAATTTAAGAGTTTTGTATTTGTTACTTCCAACAGGGACTGTCACTCCGGCTAAGAAGTTAGTTTTTATGTTTGCATACAGATTTTAAGACTTTGATTCCTGTCGCTTTCTAGTTTTAGAACTTTTTCTGCTGACCCACCTGCCTGGTCAGTTCTTAGGAGACTTAGCATGAGGCGATGTCTTTCACACCGTTCTGAGAACTGCTGATTTAGAGAGGAGGGGGAGGATTTCGCCTTGGAGAAGAGACTCATAAAACCAAGTGTTTATCCTCATGAACCATCTCCAAGACCTACACCGTTCTCCAAGCATGCACAATTTATATCTGATGCTGGCCTTCCACACTCTTGAAAAAATACCCTTTCAGCCCCTTTTTGCATTTTCTTCTAACACCATAGGTTTTATCTGGTGTCATTTTCTTTTCTCACAAAACGTTCTTATTATAGAGTGTCCCTGTTTTTGCCTCTGCATTAGTTCCAAATATGATAACGTGTTCTGAAAATGTATGAATTTCTCAGAATGGATCCAAAATGGAAATAGTCTTTAATTTTCACCTTTCAACTGCATTTTTTTCCCCTACCAGATTGGTGTTTTAAAACCACAGCCAGCAATATGCATCCTTTCTCTCAAGCTCATAAAAATGATGTCGCTACCTGCTAGTATCCAGCAAACTATTAAGTCTGCATTTTGAGCATAAAGTAGTTTTCCACATTTTTGTTTAGTTTATGGTATTATAAAGGAAAGATCTGTATGCGTCAGTGGATTTTAATTTCTTAGAATCGTTAAGCTGTTAAGAATATGCCAGCAAACATTTACAGAGCTATTTAATATACCTTCTGCTATTTAATATACCAAATGCTTTTCAGAGAAATGCAATTTAAATATTGTGCTTAACATATTTTACTAAAAAAACAGAAATATTGGACTATTGTTGTATAATGTCATTGTGTGTTGTTTTATATCTATACAATATGTAACGCTATATTAATGGAGACTATTGCTATATGACAGAGAGGCCTGGCCTCTTCCAAGCCCAGAGCCTGTGGCCAAGAAGCCCAGTCCCAATATTGCTTCTGACTGTGCAGCTCGGGACAGTCTTTCACACCTTGGCCACGGGTTTCTATTGGTAACATAGAGACAGTGATACTCACCTACCTCAACAGGCTGTTGTCGTGGTAGGAAATATTTATAATTTGTTTTGAAATCAAAAGAACCTATATAAATGCTAAGCATTATAATGTACAATCTTTTTCTTGAAATAATCTTTGTGGTATGCTGATAGAATCGACACCAGGTCCTCCCTGAGAACGCAGAAGAGAAAATAAATCCACAGTTTCCAGTCACACTTGTGGATGAAAATAACATAGCAACCCATGAACCCTGGTGGAGATCTGGATTGTCAACATTTTGATGGAGCTTTTTGATGGGTCACTTTGGCATAAGCAACATCAACAAAAAACTAGACATTGTTCTAGGGATTATTCTTTCAGACCAGCATATGCACGTGTTTTCAGAGCAAGGACAACCAATCTCAATTATACTCTTGCATTTTTAGAGATTTGATTTCTAATATGCCAAAAAGAGTGATGGGGGAATATATGAATCTTATCCAGTGGCTTCACTCAACGAAGAATGGCTGTTGTTGGTCAGCTAGTGATTACATAATTTCCTTTCTCGTTGTTTCCAAGTATTGCTTCACTGGATATTTAACCAGCCAGTCAAGAAACTGGAAGGGAGATGTATTTTTAAGGGTAGCATGTTTTTATGGCTGATTGGGGGATTCTCAATGAAGACTCTAAATATTTACTGTATACCCAATCCTTCTTTGAGTTGGGAGTCAACCTGGTAAAGTAAAGGTAGCTTTGGTGATGACTTAAAAAAAGAAAGAAAGAAGAGAGGAGATAAACCAATCTATCAAGTCCACCTTTGAACAAACATAAACACCCTGAGTTGGGTTTGAAAAGCACATCGAAGGGGCGAAAAAATGGTTGCTTTCTTGTTAGTTTGCGAGTTGTCCACAACCATGAGATGAGCGTGGGTTTGGTGTCACGGGCCCCTTCTCTGTCACTCTCTTGCATGTGGTAGAAAAACAGAACATCATCCTTTATGAAATGACCTTCATTGCCATTTCCTTCTGAGTCCCATCAAAATGGGAGTACCAGAAATTGTGTCCCAGGGTGACCTGCCATGCACCAGTGGCAGCAGACTGCAAGCGACATTGTCGGGGTAGTCTGGGTGGCAGTAGAAACAAGACCCCTGACTCCCTGAGGCAGCGCCAGCCTGCCGTAGCAGCCAGGAAATGCAGACAGAGTCATTAGTGGGTCTTTGTCTCCTAAGAAAACATTTCATTCTGCAGAACTTTCTGTTTCATTTGGATGATTTATCTACCCCTTTAAAGGTGGCCTTTCTCTCCTTTAGACTTTGTGTCTGTGCTAAATAGACAACCAACTTCCATTTCTTCCACACCCAGATATCCCAGGAATTATTTCTCAATAGGAAAAGAATGCAAAACAGAAAACACGTTCACTTGAGACGTGAAGGATGTGCATGTCAGAAATTATAAGAAAGAGGGTGATTACTAACCTCCATTTTTTCCCCCGTAAACATTCCAGGTATTATTTTCCAAGGGGAGAAAAAGAAAAACACAACTTAAGACTGTAGTTTGGATTTCTGGGCCGCTAACTCTAACCTAGTGCCTTATTTAATCTTGTATTGATTTCAAATAGTGATTCACTATATGGGACTATTTCTGCTTACTGTGGAGTCCAATATGACCTTCTGATGGGCCGACCAGTTGAAAACTGGCATATGAGCACCAATGGCTTTTATGCAGCCTGCTCTCTCCCCAAGCCACACAACTTTTATCACCCCCAAATCAAATCATCAGTGGCACTCACAAATATCAATACTGTTGGCCTCCACTGCATTGTCACTGGCCACTGTTATATCAAATAATTGAATCAGAGCTTATCAAGCCATTGGAGAGAAAGTGGAACATTTTGGGATTATATCCACTGTCTGTAAATGCCACACTTTGGGTACCTGAAAATGACAGAAGCAAGGCCCGCTGAAAATGTCCCCAGATCCCTAAAGAAACTTGAAGAGAGATGCTTCGTAAACTTCCAAGGTCCTGTGGGACATAGAATGAAAACTAGTGTCTTTAAAAAGTCAAAGCAGACTCAGCAAAAGAAAGAAAACGTGTAGAAAAATTTTGCATTCGTGTAGCTCCAGGCACCACTTTTTTCATTCAGGTTGTGTCTGTACTATTGTCTCACTTCTGATTTTGTTCTGAGTGAGATGGATCTGATCACATTTTTGGTTGATCTTACCATGTGAAAAATGTGTGTTGTTAATTCAGTTTATTATTTGTTAAAAGTGCCTCTATGAACCGGGACTGACAGAAGCTCATTTCCCATCAGCCTGTGGCTATTTTTAAGTGACTTTGATTCATTCTGAGTTTTGTGTTTTTAGAAACTTTTATTGAACTAAATTCCAGGGCAGAAAAATAAGATTATAAGACTTTCTTGATAAGATCAGATCCAGGGATCATCTGCCTCAGGAATTCTATCCTAGAATCTGCCTTTTTATTTTTTTCATGTGTATGACCATTTGTGTGCATTTCTCTGTCCAAAATCCATTCCATTACTTTTAACATGTGAGGATATAAAAATCTGCCTTTACTTGCAATAGAAAAGTCATCTCCTGTAATGGAAAATATTTTGCTATTGGTTATTCAAACTCAGTCCCTTATAAACATACCCATATATTGTGGACAAATGTTCAATTATTTTCCCCCTGTGATTATTCCCAATGAATTGGTGAACTTTTAAGCCTTTTAAAGGAGAAATTAATATAACTTTCATTTGGACTAAGGTAGATTGGATAAATAAATCCATATTTAACATTTTCCCATTTGCTATGAATTAGCATCATTTCCTTTCCTTTTACATGTTGTTAACCAAATATCTGCTTACCATTTTTACCTTATTTAAGACTTAAATTGGCAGAAGATTTTAATAGCCCTGAGATCAACCCCAGCTAACAGCCTATCTTTCCCACTTGAGAGCATCCCCATCCTTGGCCGGATTATGAAGATATTGCTTTTTATGGTGACTAGATAGGTATTCTCCAAAAGTTTCTTGAAACTGTAAACACCGAATTTTCTTATTTTTGACCTCTTAAAAGTCTTGTACTTACAGAGTTCTAAAAGTTCACTCATCACTTATGCTTCTTTTGGCAATTTGATGGGGAAAAAAGTGAGATTTAACAGGCTATTAGGCATTATCTTTTGCTGTGTTCAACTTCTAAGCTTCTAATTCTGTTACAAAAGAGATCTTGAATTTTTAGTGTTACTTTATGTAAATAGCATAAACTTGTACCTGGATATATCTATATTATTAACCTTATGATCCCTAAATAAATTGGTGTTAAAGGGCTGAATTCGGGGAAATCATTAAATTCTCAAACCTTTCATATAACCAAATGCTCAGTTTTTTCAGAAGTAAACATTATATGGCTTTTTCATACTGTGAGATGACACATTTCTTTTTCTCCTTAGCTTGATCTAGAAACAAACCAGTAACCAAGCCGTACTTTGATAAGCGATGAATAAGGTAAATGCATCTGGGCTACGGGCCACTGTTTTGTCTATTTGCACAAGGAGACGTCTTTGAAACACTATTGCTGTCTTTACTTTAAAAAGAAAAGTTTGTTCCCAGTATATGTTGATTTTGAGTACATAAAGTGATTATTTTTAATGAAGAAAGACACTATTGCAGAGACCACACTGTCCACCCTGGCCCAGTGACAGGAAAGGTGTTGTGGATACGAGTTCAGCTGCCTCTGCTCTTTCTATGACTAAATCCATGATCAAGTTCACCTGATGTCTTCTCAATAAACCCACGTTGGGCTGGCAGGTTAGCTCAGTTGGTTAGTGTGCCACGTTGTAACACCAAGGCCAAGGGTTCAGATGCCCATGCTGGCCAGCAAAACCCATATTGAATCTCACTTTGAAAGCCACCTAAACCAACTCCTCCAAACGCACAAACTCCCTTCCCACTCAGCCACTCAGAAGTCGACTTACTTAAGCCAAACAGTTAGGAGTGCTTAGTGCAGAGCCTCTCATGAGATCCACACCAGATAAAATTTTCTTGATTCACTACACTGACTTGGAATAGAGGCAAAGTTTTATTTTGTGAAAGTATATGTCTAATGTGCATATGGTGGGTACCCTGTTCATAAAGAGAAGACATGTGATGAGTCATACTTTTTTTTAAAGCTGTCATTTGAGAGTTTAGCAAAGGCTTAATAAAGCAGACTTTCTGAATCTGCATTAGTTAATAATGATTTGATTTGATAGCAGTTTCTGAATCCTACAATTTCATGGGGTTTTTTAATTGGGCTGACGGTTTGATGAGAGACAATTATGTGCGAGGAGTTCATTAAATCATAGCAAGGATAAAGGATATTTGTGATTTATTTTTATTTCATATGAGAGAAAAATAAGGAAGAGGAAAAAATTCTCCTTTTGTAAAATGGATATCTGGCTTTCAAAACCATTCCTTTTGGCCTTAGACATGTTGAAAAATTAATTTTTCCTTTATGGGCTCTACTGTTTCCTGTGAGTAGAAAATTCTGAGGAATAATTGAGACATTCTGAGCTCCTTGTAAGACACAAACATAGACAAACCTGATTTCTATGAGTGTTCCCACATAAGTGCACAGTTGATCTTGGGAATATGACCTAATTCCCAAGATTAAAGTGTTGAAATTATATGTGACTTTACAATACGGAGGATGAAGATCTTTAAAGACAACTCAGAAAATATGATCCAAAAACATTCATGTAAATCAGAGCTTAATCTACAACGTCGCTTACTTTTACTTAACTGTGGAGATTATCTGCTTCTTTAGAAAGTGCATGTCATTAAAGACAACATCCCAAAAAATGTAATAAAAGAAAGGTTTCATCATAGATTCAGGAAAGTTATGGTATTGATAGAGTACTTTGAAAATCTCTGTGGGAAAGTGTTGCTGAGAAACAAAAGCTGTTTTGTCCCCAGCAATAAAGCTACACGTTGTTATCCATATTTCATGGGTGGACCTACAGTTTTCCTGGTGTCCTAGAGAGACCATGCCCATAGCTCCTGCACGAGCAAAACCCTGTTTTCCATCATGTGAGTACTCCACACTGGTCACAGTTGCTTATACCAAGGTTCCATATTTGACTCAAAGGGACTCATTTACAGGACGGGGTGGCCTAAGGAAAGATGTACCCAGCAGTGGT